TGAAAAGTTTCCTGAGATAACTTCTGTTATGAATTGGTGCTATACAAATAAAATTGAATTGAATTGAATTGATTAAATCTGTCCAAAATCTGGGTGAATTGCATATTGTCTGTGTTTCAGACTGTGCCTGTGGCGACTGCACTGACGGCTGTTACCTGAGCCTCGGGCAACAGAAACAGACAGCTTATCGAGATGACTGACAGGCGTTGAGGTGGGACCTTGACTAACTGAGGAGAAAGGAGGTTGGGACCAAAAACACACCACCTGCCTCAAGGCGAAAAGTTGCATATTGCATTCTTCAAAGTCAAAACAGACTATGAATTTTTACAGTACAGCAAGATGTGAATGTAGGCTTCTACTCGCGAGCTGAGTGGGAGGTTACGGGAGGGGAGGCCGCAAATGGAAAGCAGAGGAGCAGCTGCATCAGTGAGATGGCGAGGGCTCGGGGATCTACGTGGAGGACAGAACCATCTGATCTCCTGCCTGCTACTTCACCTCACCCACTGCCGCTCTCACAAGAGAATACAACGCACAGAATCCATCCCGCTGCCGATCAGCCTTCGCCCTCAAGTGTGGATCATTATTCAGTCTCACAGCAATAAAATGATATGTCTAAAGGATCGCTGATCAATATCAGCTGCTGAGATTTCTGTATTTTAAAAGGGACAACAACAACGAGAAATCCCATGAAAAGAACAACAGATAGTCTGTCTGTAGATTCTCTCTGACTTCCCCATCCTGTGGTGCTCGGCCTCGAGTCCGTTTGTTCCTACTGGAGCATTAAATCTATTAAAATGGGTCAAAAAACATTCACAGAAATGTCCTAAAACAGTTGTGCATTGTAGCTTTCTTTCTTTGCACAGAATATCACAGCCTCAATCTTTCACCTTGTTAGACACCCTCTCATATCAACATATGAACATATGCAGCTATTTAAGAATACCAGAAAGTAACATGTATTTTTTTTTCTTGTATCTTTGAAGAAAAATGCTTTACTGTATCTTTCCCTCAGTGGTTGCCCACCTAGGGTTTGAGACTCCCCCAAGGAGACAAATGACAAATGTGTGGGATAATAAAGAAAAACACACACAGAATTATGCTTCTTTCTCACAGTCCACATCATGTTAGCAGCTGTTTGAGCTAAATGCTAACATCAGTATGCCGCATTTCTATCATCTTAGATTAGCATGTTAGCATGCTAACATTTGTTAATTCGTATTATTAGTATCCGTAATTCATAAAACTGCTAAAACTAATGAAACACATATTCTAATCAAAGTGGTTTTATTGAGGCCATACTCTGTTCCGCTGTTACATTAGTCACATTAGAAGAGACTCACATTCAAAATTATCGTCTCACTCAGAAAACACAACATATTTTAAATGTTTAATCATTTTAGTTGCATATTTATTTTAAATTTTCCTATTCAAATGTTCTGTTTGACCTAATTCAGGGGCTAATCGGAGTATCCAAGCCTGCACAAAGTGGGAACATTAACAAAGCCGTCTCTCGCAACGCAAGTAAACAGCTTAATTATTCTCATAATCAAAGTAAATGCAAAAAAAATCACATTATCATGTAGCTGCAGCCAGGACTTCTGCAGAGAGCAAGAGCCCCACAGGACAGAAAGTGGTACTGCACGGTGTGTGTCATTAGGCCCAGACTGACTGTAATTACACTGCAGCCCCATGATGGAAGGAGAGTCCTTCTAATTAGCACAGATCACATTCCTTTGGCTGATTGAGCAATTAATGAGAATGTGGTGATCCCTCAATCAGCAGCACAGAGACTGCTCTTGTCACTGATACACACTCTCCCTCATCAGATCCCTTAATTAAATTTAAGGCATCGCCAGACGTGGCCAACCGCCTCTTTTCTCCTCTTTTCTCTGTACTTTTCTCCGCTTTCATTTGCGGCCACGTTCCACTTCAGTGGCTCTTTTTTTTGTGGGGGGGCGTTAATAAAGAATTACTTGGATCTACACATCCGATGTGCCAAGTGGTTATGAAAGCACAAACAGCTGCCTGGCTATCAATCATCCAACAACTGCTGAGAAAATAATACAGATGTGAAATCATGTTTCAACTCTTTATTATTTTTTCACTTTTGAATGAGCAAAAATCTTATATAAATACCTAAAATATAATATTTATAACTGTCTAGGGCCTAATGTTGCCTGATGTCTTTTTTATTGCATCACTGAGTCTTTGAACATTATTATAGCTAATAATTTGTTGAGAAATGTGAAGCCAGTGCCTCTTGCCAAATGTTTAAATGTCATTGTAGTTGGTTTAGTAGTAGTTTATTAATGTCAGTGTAACACATTATGTAATAACTTGACAACATGTCAATACATTTCACTGCTTTTTGTAATAAATTGTTACAAATTGTGGTGTTCATTACACAATAAAGTGACTTTTTACATAATGGTTTTAAGAGATGAGAAGTTTTGCCCTTACAAAACTGAATTGAATAAACTCCAATATACGCCTGGTAGTCAAGCAAAGAAACCAGTTTGTCATCCTCTAAAAAAAAAAAAAGCCAGGATACAAACCACTTTAAAGTTTGGTGCTAAAAGGTTTTCACATAAGAGCAAAGATGCAGCACACTGCAGCCACATGAGACTGCAGAAGTCCGTTATTCAGAAAGCATTACATTTTTGTCAGACGCACGACGGAGCTCAGTGAAAAGCCTCTCAGATATAGATCAGATGTGACATTTAAGATTCATTTACATTCAAGTCTTTTTTTCCATAAAATGCTAAAAGGTGACAACAAAACTGACAAGTCAAATCTATTCAGACACTGTACGTCTCAGCTCATTTAACATAACAACTAAACATTGTTTAATACGTTTTACCACGTACCAGTTAGTTTATGGCAGCATGTTAGTATGCACGC